ATATATAAAAACAGTGTATGTATACACACACATACACACACACACAGAGATGCTATCCATGCCCTGAGACATGCACCGATCTAAAACGAAGCGCACACTATCACACACCTTCAGTTCTTGTGTTCCCTCTTGTTTGCTATTTTTTGTTTTTAAATTCAGCAGCTGAGCAACAAGCTGACTTGTGACGATCACTGAGTCAGAGGCAATGCAGGATGAAGACCCAAGGTCAGGAGATCTCCTAAAACAGCCCAAAGCATTTGGCCCAGGAAGGGCTTGTCCGATCAGAAGGACAGATGCTCCTCGCTGGCATAACCCTAAAACTGGAAGCACCATGCTGATACAAGCACGAGAGCACAGACGGAGCCAGATCTGGACCAGAAGCCCCATGGCTCATTTGCCACAAGTCATTATTGTACTGGCATCACTTCTGATATTTCCCGTCACAGCATCATTGGACTCGGGTCCGTACAACTGAACGTGACAAAATTCCGTGATCCTTTTTGCAAGGCAGTGCCTGATGTTCTTCACCATTACCTGACAAACCGGTACTCTGGGCTGGGTGGAACGGCTAAACCTCCCAGAATCAGAGCATCCAGCTGCAAACCCCACCTCATTTCACAGGTGCGCATCCTGCCTGTGAAACCTCCATCAGAAAGCAGAGCAGGGAGCTCCGTGCTCCTGGGCTACGTTTCCTCCTCACTTACCTCCTTACGTAAGGACCAAAAGTGGAAATGTTTATCAGCAAGAAAATTAATGTATTACTTTCTATTCCTCCGTGCATGCCTTTTCACGCATACAAAACCATACCGTGCAGGAGACAGACCAGCCTCCACATGCAGCTCAAGAGCAACAAAAAGAGCATCAAAAAGCAAGAAAAAGGATCTTTTCATCATTCCAACAGCAAAATCCCCTGCGGTGCTCCCCTCTGAACGGGGAAGTCCTACTGAGTTGTGAAACAGTTGTGCTCTTTCAGTTCTTAGGCTGACTTGCGGTAGTCCAGCCAGTCCCCGTACAGACTCAAAACGGGGCTAGGGTCTTTCTCAAATCAGAAGTAAAAGGCAGTGACAGCTATGCAAAGCCTGAAGAAGTCAGAAAAGCTGAATTATAGCTATAAAAAGTGGAAAAGACCTAGAAGACTACTCCATCTAGCCTTTTGGAAGCTGTGTCCCACAGATGTCCAGTGGCACAGGACTGCTTTCCAGGAGTCCATGTAAAGAAGAAAACAAGCCTGCTGTCAGCAAGGGAGACAGGTCTACGTGTATTTTAGTAGTCCAGTGAGAGATTGGAAACCCCCCATCCAGTCCTCCTCATTAAGCAGAATGGATTTGCTCCCCTCCAGCTTATTCCTGTAGTGGAGAGCATAATGCCCCAAAGCTGTGCTAGGGACCAGAGGTCACTTGGTCCCACCACATATTCACGTGTTAGGGTTCCTCATGCACAAAGCCTCCCTGCTCCATCATCTCTCTCTTGCCCAGAAGTGGCTGTACCTGTTTTTGGCAGTGATATAAGACATGATGTTTTGGTTGAAGAACTTCAGGATCAGCGGGATGCAGTTGGCAAACACCAAATGTTGGGACACGTACTCAAACTGAGGAAGAGAAGTGAAATGGGTCAACGTTAGCTGGGACAACTGGGAGCATCACCTGGGAATGGAAACCCATTTCCAGCCCAAAGCAAAGCAGTCTTGATGGTTTGCTCTAGACACCGCGCAGACCATCTTTCCCTTGCAGAAGTCTGCTGTATAAGGCTTGCATCATGCACAGCAACTCCCACCAGCGGGAAGACTATTGCCAGAGAGTGGACACACAAACTTTATAGCAGTAGTTGAGGAATAGCTGCACCTACACTGCAGTGTAGCTTTTCAAAATAGAATCTGTGGCAAAACAATATATGGGGAAGGGGGAAGGAGGAGATGTAGCTATTACGTGAGAAAACACAATAATTCCTGTTGCTGTCACACGCTAACCACAGTCCCTTTTCAAATTTTGACTGAAAAAAGTACCCTTACCTTCATACATGATTTTAATTTCTCTCCTCTAAACATTAAATGGTCTGGGTATGTACAGCTGCAGAATACAACAAGTCTCTGGGTTCCCCAAAGAGACAGACACAAATAGCAGCAACATCCTATCCCATCCCATCCTAGCCTAGCCCATGCCTCTCGCTAACCTGCAATCAACATCCCAAATTTGAGAGCAAAGAAACAGTTTGTTCCTACACGCCTCATCTCCGCCTGGTACAAGCTGTTGACACTCAGCACACCACTGATGACACACCGCCGCCGTTATTTGTGAGTGAGTAATCGGCCGTCCCTGCTAGCTGCCACTGACTAGTACGTTATATAGGATCTGACCGAAGACAATGCTGAACTGCAATAATTTGATGGTATTTCTCCGTTGGCATAAGAAACGTCAAATCTGGACAGAACTGAGACAAAAAACCCACGATCTGTGTCGGTGTGCAGGTCTGTGCGGTTGCGGCCACATCAACGCGGCAGACGGTGAGCAGAGGGTGACCCCCAGCAGAGCCTGGACCAGCCGTGCCCTCCATTACCCTCCACTGCTTTCTGGAAGCATCATCTCAGCCCCTGCAGTGGTTTTCAGGGAGCAACTTGAGACCAGCTTTGCACCAAAAGAAATTACGATGGCTCATCCAAAATCAGACACAAAAGCAGAATCAGGGGGAGAAAACCCCACAGCTTTCTCCAGACTTAGCAACAGACTGCAAGGGTCCTCCTGCCATGGAGGAAGAAATGAGATGAGCTGTTTTGGGAGTGAAGCGAGAAAAATTAGTGAAGGGATATGGGGGGGACCCAGAACCAATGTAGGATTGTAAAAATGTGGGGGTTTGTTTCATTTTATCCAATCCGAGACATGGATTTATATTTATCCTCAGATAAATATCAGTGGGCTTCATAACACAGATGGATTTGTACCATGCTGAAACTTTCAAAAGAAAAAAAAAATAATTACAAAACACCAATTGTTTGACTTGCAGAATGAATGGAGAACTGACCCCAGGCCACAGCCCAAATCAGTGCTTGGTGGTTTTTTCATCAAGGAAAGCCCTCATGCGAGTCCAGTTCGATTGGTGCCATGCAGATGAAACAAAAATCAGATTGCATCTAGGACCCAGACCTCCAGACTCTGTTGAAACTGGAGCCCCAAGAACTTGATCCTGCCAAGGGACAGAGGACTAGTTTAGCTGACCTCATGAGGTCCTACCCAGCACTATTTCTGGTCACTGGAGAGGAGACGGAGCTAAAGAGGGTCTTGTTTAACCCCCATCCCCTTCCCCTTTCTGCCAGGGGAGGTTCATGCTCATGGTATCTTCTAAATTTTAACCTGATCAGCCACAGCGTGAATTTTTCCAGAAGTCTGAAAACTCTTTCCACGTGAGTGGAAATGATCCTGTCGAAACACAGTCAAAGATATATTGCAGGCAGGTTATCTCTGCCTGAGTCACCCTACACAAATCCTGGCCCGGGGCTAAGGTTCTCTGCTACAGAAAAGCGATCTGCAGCTCCTATGGAAACTCTTCCTGGAGAGGTCTTTTAGGAGAGGGTCTGTCAGGACACAGTGGCTTCAAGACCACCGTGGCGATGGCCGACCCCTTCTCTACGCTCACCTGGTAGATGTGGTTCAGCTTGAAGTGCTTGAGGAGCAGCAGCAGCAAAGCCGAGATGCTCTTCACAATGATCTCTTTGTGTCTGTTCACATCAATCCCCAGTTTCATGCTCTGAAGAACGGTGATGCTGGGTTGGAGGGAAAGAAGGCAACAGCACAGTGGGTACGGGAGCAAGGAGGACTAAGGGATGAGTTCACATTCATCTGGACAGGCTCTACAGAAACAGGGACCTTCGCTTCCCCCTGGGACTCCGATTTCCATCCTCTGCTGCATGGTGACACCAAAGTGCATTAAAAAAAGGAGAAAAAACCCCGATTGCCCTCCGCCAGCAATCCTGGGGGAGCGGTATGAAGGACACCTGCCATATGCTCACCTATCTTTATGATTTGTGTCAGTTAGCATGATTTTATGATTTGTGTCGCTTAGCTAGTGGAGCACAGCTGCTGCCAACCGCGCTCTAATTGTTATACTCCTGAAAAATCGGCATCACTTCCTTGGCTTTCACCCCTCTGCCGTGGTGGCAACAATAGCTTGCACCTATCCAAAAAGACGTCCCCAAATCTAGAGTCCCCCAAACCTGTTGGGGAACCCCAGCTCTCCTGCTCAGTCCAAGACTTCGTGGCAAAGCTAGGATGGCTGGTGGCTACCTTGTCGAGGACTTACGGCATCTCTTCAGGCAACACGTCTGCCAGGATGTTGATGGAGTCAGTCTTGGCTTTGGAGGTGGGTGCTGCAGCAAGGAGGATCTTCAGCAAAGCTATCTGCAGAAGAGGGCAGGCGTGGAGGGATGGTCCCAGGAAGGGGCATTCCTTCCTTCTCCTTCACTTGCTGAAACTGGACAACTTCAAGCCAACTCTATAGGGTTTCACCAACCCAAGCTCCGCTCACTGTGATGGACTGACTATGCCAAGGCTCAGCCTCTCCTTTTATACCCTGGACAGCCAGGCCAAGTGTGGGGAGCACGGCAGGTCTGTTTTAGCTTTAACTTAATGCATCATGAGCACCTGAGCTCTAGTAGCATGGATAAAATAATGCAAGGGACACCTGGAGCTTAATGCATTAAAATCTGTGTTTGTGTCTCCCTACAAACAGAGTGCACGCGACCCAATTAGCATCAGAATCACAGAATGGTTTGGTTGGAAGGGACCTTAAAGACCATCCAGTTCCAATCCTCCTGCCATGGGTAGGGACACCTTCCACCAGACCAGGTTGCTCAAAACCTCATCCAACCTGGCAAGGTAGCTGAATTTTGGGACAAGCACTGTATTCCTCTGGGAATCTCTCGGGGCCATGGGAAGGCTGCAAGGGATGTCCCTGTAAGGAAGGTCATAACCTACAGACTCTCCACAGTTTGAATAGCTGCTGAGAACACAGCCAGGTTGGGAGAGCCCTGAAGGCGTTACCACCTTGTTTGCTGAGTCACGTAACGCATGATGATGGTTTAGTTTGGTTCCTGGCCCAGCAAGCCATCACGCTCAGAGACCAGCATGATATCGTAACTCAGTTAATCTCAACAAGAAGGACAAAGGCTCAAGGGACCGGTGAATTCTGTAGGTTGCTTCTTGAGGTCAGAAGTGAAGGTGCCTGCATCAGTGTACAACAACTTGGTAAATATTACAGCTCACGCAGCTCAAGAGATGACATGGGACCATCCCTGACTGGTTCCCCTCAGTGTCTGGAGGGCAGGAGCCAGTTTTGAGCTGCGACCAATGTGGAGGACTTGTTCCCAATCCTCGGCACACATCCTATTTTCCAACCACTGACCCGTCTCCAACCATTTGACTGTGTGCGACCAACGTGGAGGACTTTGTTCCTTGTTCCCAATCCTCGGCACACATCCTATTTTCCAACCACTGACCCGTCTCCAACCATTTGACTGTGTCCCTGGGTATCTACACCCCTTGAGCCTCTGAATCCCTCTTCTTGGACTGTATTTTCCACCAAAATCTGCTCTGGATTCCCACCAAAATCTCACCATTCAAGTCCTGAACACACCCCAGCAGCCCCGTGCTGAGCTCTGCAGCTCACAGTGGGACCATTCCCCAAGCAAAAGCTCTTCTTTACTTTTAAGAAACACAGGCTTACCATATACTGGGGGAGATTGTACAACATTGCTCGATACAAGATCTCACAAGGGGTTTCTTGGACTTCCTCTTCCCCCTAGCACAGAGAAACAAGGGAAAATTAAGCACTTCCAGTCCACACACTTGAGATACGTCAACCACCTCCATAAAACCCAGCTTGAGGACTTCATGATGGAAATCGCTGCATGGTGACTGCAGGAAGCTCCAGGCCTTTCTCCACTCCTACATTTGATCAAGATACAGACTTGTAGAAAAAAGAGCATCCAAGGTGCGTCCTAAGGATCACAGAGAACGTATGGATCTCTATGACACCTCGGAAATCATCCACACGTCTACCTAGTGATGAGGTGCAACAACTTCTTACCAGAGACATGGGGCACTTCTCCAGCTCCTCCTCATTCTTGATCTGGACGTCTGAGATGGAAACGTACTTGTGCTGGCAAAATACACAGACAGAGGCAGAGCAATGTCACAACTAAAGGATGAAACACAGTCGGTGATGACAACAGCTGTTGATTTCAGTAATATCTGAGTTAGGTTTAAAGGTCACAGAAGATACATGGACAGCTCATCTTTGTGGGGGACATCCCTCTGTCCCTGAAGACCCTCACACATCATGCCTTTGATTACTTCCACCTACTCCTTCTAGGATCTCTCTGTAAGTAAATGGAGAGGGACAATCATCTCCAAAAGGAAATCCAGACCTTAGGTAGGGTCAGTTGGCCTCTGGAAGTGTCTCACTCCATGTGGAGCACTGCAGGAGCCACGGCTGGCCACACTTTCCCCTGGGAAACAGCACAGGTCTGGGCATGTATGTCCAAACCCAACTCTGGAAATCTGTCACCTTCAAAGCGCAACGTGGCAAACGCTCTCCAGGATGCAGCAATGTTACACCTCGGATAAAGCAAAAGTCCAAGTGCTGGACAATCTACTTGGAATTGCAGTGAGGACTCAGTTTTCCATTTTTTGCCCCAATTCCTGCAAGAAGCTTCAGAAGCCTTTTCTGTGACAACTAACAAGAAGGAATCATCTTACTCCCTCCAGTACCTGTGTCTCAGCCAGAGGTTAGATTATCCAGCCCCTCTCAATCTGTTCAGACCTTGACTGGATTTATTGTCAGATTGACTTCCCAAGGCAGAGAGAGCAAAAGCTCAGACCGAAGGCGTTGCTGTACATCAGCTGAAGAGGAGAAGACTAAATCCACTTGAAACATTTGCTGTGGGCTGAGAGCATACATCTGAGGAACCTGAAACTCACTATAAGTGCTGTATCACAAGGTTTATGTCTATTAGACTTGATGCCCTGCAATCCCCCTGTGGCCTTAAGGTCTGATCTCACCTCAGAGCATCTGCTGAGTACCAGGGAGCAAAAATAGCAAGGGGTGAGGTTAGACAAGCTGACTGCTGCTCAGCAAGGCTTTCTGGGCTGCTTCATCCAAGTGCCACACATGGAGCCACCATCTTACCTGCTTCAGTGTCTTCACGCTTTCATGGATGGGCCGTGGTAGCCCTATCAGGGTTTCGGTGTCTCTGGAGGGGATGAAAGAAGGTAAGTATGAGACTGGGAAGGAGCTCTGGGTTTAACACTTCCATGTCATACAAGGTAAAAGAGGGAGCCTGCAGTCTACTGAATCTACTGAACGCATCTCAGATGTGTCAGGAATTGGGAGGGGTGTTGGCATGTGCTGCCCGCGCTCCCACCTCCTCCCCAGCAAAGCCTGCACAAGAGAGGGGCAACACTGGGGTGAAGAACTGGGGTGAAATCAGGTCTCTGCATGGAGCCAGCTTGAACCCAGCACCGCACCTAAAAATGAATATACCTCTGTGCCTGCAGCTTGATTTATTCACAAACTGGGCAATTCACTGTGGATACCAGATTGTCCCAACTCCCTCCTGCGTCAAACCAGTCTCTAGCTTCAGCCAGGGTTCACTTATTCTGGGCTCACTCTGATTTTTAATAGAAAGAGGTCCTTGGAGACCAGCATCTCCAAGAACATGTTTTAGTAATGCCAAGTGCGCTGCTGCAGCCCCAGTGAACTCCAGCGCCACGCGGCATCGTCCCGAGCATGCCTTAGGCTGGTTGAGTTGAGAAAACCTAATTTCTGTGGGCACCTCCCACCAGTTAAATCGCACTGATGGGAGCTACGAGACAGACTTTGTTGGACCCACATACGTAACACTCACTGTCCCAGCGTGAATCCAATGAATTTGTTCCTGCTTGCTTCCAGAAAATGCTCGATGTCTTTCTGTCTGATAGAGCAGCAGAGAAACAAAAACAAAAAGGTTGGAAAATAGACGTATATCAGATCACAGCCTACATTGCCCTGAAAGGACAGCAGCGTGGGACCAGCAAGAACCTTTGAGCTTTCTAGGATTGATTTCTAGAAGTCTTAATAGCAGCAGGCTAGGGCCACCATTGCTCTCGTTGGTTGGGAGCAACGTGAACCAAAACTATTTGTATTTGCTGTGCAACTCCATGGGAGCATGCAAGCAAATGGCAAGGAGTTCTCTACAACCAGCATCTTTTTATCCACCTTCTGTGCTCCTAGCGTGTGCATCTTCAAGTAGCATCTGCTCGCTTTGAGCAAACAAATGTTGTCTCCGCAGTCTGGCAGAGCACGTGCTGCTCCGAGAGAGAGAGCTGATATCTTGTCCACCTTGGGCGTCTTTCACAAGAACTGGTCAAGGTCTCAGCACTACAAGTAGGACATGAACCGTGAGCCAAGGCTCTCACAGGCAGAAAGAAACCCAGCTGGATTTCCAGGCACCAGCCAAGAAAAACAACGGTCATTTTATTTTGAAGCTGAGAGCATTAAGTTACGTGGAGTACCATGGCACCGCACGTGTGGAGACCCATGTGGAAAAACAGTTCTTGCTGTGTCCCTGTGAGGAGTGCTCTGCACAGACACACGCGTGTCACCGCTCCCACATCAAAAAGATGTATTTGCTCATGTGTTTTAAAGATACCGGATTAAATCCAGGCTGCAGATCAACAGCAAAAAAACCTCACATGGATTAGAGGGAAAGGGGCAGAGGTTTTCACCCTCTTTTCCTAACGTTCCCCCATATCACGTGTAGCAGAACCGGTCTTAGGAAGGGAAGGCACCAAGTTCTTTATCAGATGTTTTTCTCCAATTTTTCACTTCAGAGCAAGGCCACTCAAGAAGGCTTCATCTGGCAACACGAGAGTCCCCACTCAACAAGCAAGAGGCAATGTCATTAACCACTTCCCAAGATGATTAGTCTAGGAGCTCACCCTACCGAGATCCATTGGTGCCGGTTGGGAAACCTGACCCTACTCCCCCAGTGCTCCAGCACAAGCCTCCTTCCCAGTACAACTTGGGACGTCCAAAACGGGATTGCCACTTATTGGCCAAGCTTGGCCACGCTTAGTTTGTAAAGCCTGGGGAAGAGCTCAGCTAAACCCAGTCCAGAAAGGACCAACTGAGGCAAAAAAAGAAGTGCAGTCACTTCAGTTCAACTTGCCAGAGGCCAACAAACTTGCCACAGACTGACATTCAGCCTGCAAAGAACTCCAGGACAGGTAGGACTGGGGAGGATGGCAATGGCACCAAATGGTTTTACCTGACTTTGGGGGCCCAGGGGAGCCCTTTGGGGAATGACACCCTTTCGATAGGCGGGCGCTGAGCAGGCATTGTGGGGATAATCGCATCCCGCTCCATCAGGTCCAGTTCCCCCTCGATCCCGCTGTCCACATCATCGTTCTCCTCTTCGTCGACTCCTGCTTCATCATTCTTGAAGGGATCTCTCTCGTTGTAGATATCCAAACTGTCTTGCTTCACCAGGGGCTGCAGCAGACGGGGAAGGAGAAATTCAGGTCACTCTGTGGATTTCATTTCCCTCCCAGCCACTAGCACCAGACCTCTCCATCCTGGAAGGGTCGAGCTCCCAGATGTACCTCAGGTGAAGATTTGCTTCCTAGCTGTTGCCAGAGAGCCTGGACAAGGAACAGCCCCCTCTGTACCTCTAACCTTGCTGCTCTAGGAGGTGTGACCTCATTTTCTATCTTAACTTTTGGAGCTACCGTCTGACACCTCTCCCCTAGCAAAAGAGGCATTTTCATCCTCAGACCATAACACAGCAATTCCAAGAGTGGAGCTAAAAAAAGACGAGCTTGCTATGAGCAGTTTGCTCCTCAGTGCTTATCAACCCCTTGCCATAGGGTCAGGATGTCCTCTCGCTTCCTCCAGATCAAGTGCATTGCAGGGCTGATCTGCTGCAACTGAAACTGGTGGATGGAAAACAGGACATGACCCGGCAATGTGCGCTCACAGCCCAGAAAGCCAACCCTATCCTGGGCTGCATCCCAAGCAGGGTGACCAGCAGGTCGAGGGAGGTGATTCTGCCCCTCTGCTCCGCTCTGGTGAGACCCCCCTGCAGTACTGCCTTCAGCTCTGGGGTCCTCAGCACCAGAAGGACATGGACCTGTTGGAGCGAGTCCAGAGGAGGCCACGAAGATGATCCGAGGGCTGGAGCACCTCTGCTGTGAGGACAGGCTGAGAGAGCTGGGGGTGTTCAGCCTGGAGAAGAGAAGGCTCCAGGGAGACCTCACAGCAGCCTTCCAGTACCTAAAGGGGCCGACAAGAAAGCTGGGAGGGACTTTTTAGCAGGGCCTGGAGTGATAGGACAAGGGGCAAGGGCTTTAAACTAAAAGAGGGTGGATTCAGACTAGATATAAGGAAGAAATTTTTTACAATGAGGGTGATGAGGCAGTGGCACAGGCTGCTCAGAGAGGTAGTAGATGCCCCATCCCTGGAACCACTCAAGGTCAGGTTGGACGGGGCTCTGAGCCACCTGATCCAGCCGAAGATGTCCCTGCCCATGGCTGCGGGGTTGGACTAGATGACCTTGAAAGGTCTCTTTCCACCCAAACCATTCTGTGATTCTGCGCAGGAGCACTTGGGGGGAAAGGGAACCACGGTCCCGAGCACAGGCTGGCTCCTTGAACGGATGATGGTCCCCACTGGAAAAGCATCCTGGGCTGTATGCCAGGAGGACGTGCCCGCTCTCACCCTCCGGCTGCGGTGACCACGCTTCTGCTGCTGCTGCTCCATGAGCTCGATGGAGTAGGTGGGAGGTGAAGCGGCGCGCATGCTGCGCATCACTTGAATGCTGTCCTCCGGCAAGGGCGGCAGCCCCAGCTCCTCCCGCTTCCTCACCTTCATCGCCTGCAGGGCTTCAAATCCACCCAGCGTGAACTAGGGACCAACAAGAGAGGTGAGAAAGTGGGGAGCAGACATTCCACCTGGACTGCCTGGCTCTTCTGTGCTTCCAGGGGAGCAGCAGTTTGAGGGCATCAAACTGGAGAGTTGAGGATGAAGACACCACGTCACTGATTTGTTCTCCAGACTTCTCCCTCGCCCCACGTCCTCTGCGTGGCTCAGCCCACCCTCATCCCAGAAGAAACTTTTTGCCTTGTGTCAGCTTCCTGTGCCATCCTAAATAACCTCGTTATGGCTGGATTGAACCGTGGGGAACATCCAGGCTGCATCAGCACTATTCCCAAAATGGCTGGTTTCTGGAAAAAAGAAGGGTTTGGACCCACCAGAAGCACCTTCCAGAGCAAGAGCAGGACCTTCTTCATGGGGAAGTGTGGAGCGTGGCCACTGCAGAATTTGGTCACCATTGTGAAGAGCAGAAGAGCAAACGGCTCTTCAGTGTGCACAGGGAAACCTGGTGGAGAGAGGGACCAGGAGCAGGTTCAGAGCAGATCCCTCGTCCCTGAGGTCTCCCCACTGGTTCAGCATGATGAAGGGACCTCGCTAGGGCACAATGAACTTTGTGGCTCACTCAGCTCCATCCTGAAGGTCTCCCGGCAGGTTTTCCACTCGGGAGGATCCGCCTCCTGCTCCACACGGATGTTCTCCACCATCAGGTACATGACGCTGAGCAGTACCCTGCCAGAACAGCACGGCAGGCAGGTGATGTTTGGCGTCACCAGAGGCCACTTTGTCCCCAGAGGCTGTCCCACAGCCTCCACCCAACATGCTAGTGGGGGGCTGAGAGGGGGGTACCTGAGCTCCGTGCTGTCGGCCAGCGAGATGGCCGGCTTCCTCAGGGCGCTGCTGCAGGCCTGGCTGTTGCTGCGGGGAAGGGGACGAGCTCAGTGCCAGCCACCGGGCACGGGCTGCTCCTCGCCCTGAACCCCAGCCTACGTCTGCAGTGGTGGAAACACCGCTCTGGGGGACGTGCCGTGGCTGTGGCACCTCCCTGGTCCTCAGTGAGGAGGAATGAGGAAGAAAAAGGTGAAAAGGATGAGGAGAAAGAAGATAAAGGTGAGGAGGATGGAAGAAGAGGGTGAAGAGCATGGGGAGAAAGAAGATGAAGAGGAGGAGGATGAGGAGGATGCAAGAAGAGGGCGAGGATGGAGAGAAAGAAGATGAAGAGGAGGAAGGTGAGGAGGATGGGGAGAAAGAAGATGAAGAGGAGGAGGGTGAGGAGAATGGAAGAAGCGTGCAAGTAGGACGAGGACAAAGAAGATGAAGAGGAGCATCAGGAGAAAGAATAAGATGAAGAAGAGGACAAGGAGGGTGAGGGCAGTGCAGGTCTTCTCACTCAATCTCCATGTTGAGGAGCTCCAGGAAGGCAGTGAAGGTTCCCAGCCGGTACAGGAGGAAGCTGTTGTGCCGAGACCAGTGCAGGACATCACCTTCGTTATCGCAGTCTCCGAAGACCCCTGGAGAGGCCCAAAGGGAGGCACTGGTTAGGGGGGAGCTGTCTTTGAACCCCTGGAGCACGTGGGACCATCCCGGGAAGGAGCTTCACTGCAGTGACCTGGCACAACCCCAAGAGAAGGCTTCTCCCAAGCCCCCATGCCGAAGCCAGGCAGCGCATATGTGGCCGTATCCAGACAGGGGGGATGTGGTCCTTACCCTGTGCCAGGTAGAGGATGGCCCGTGCTACTTTGAGCCGCTTGTCCCTGTTGACCACCTCCAGCCCATCCAGCAGGCGCATGACGTAGGCCTTCTGCTGAGCCCCGTCCAGCTCCAGCCACCTCCTGCCCTGCACTGGAAAGGGGACGCGACAACCAGCCAGGTGTCTCCCCGGGGGTCCCGCTCTCACCCAGGGGGGCTGCCCTCAGCCCCGGGGTGCTGAGCCCAGAGCTGGTACCTTGAGCGTGAAAATCCTCCTCGAAGCATCTCCTGTTGGTGCTGAGCTCAGGCTCCTCGGTGTAGCTGTACAGCTCTGATGGAGAAAGGGGTCAGCAGGGACCTGCAGGAGTTTCACCCACCTCCTCATCGCCAAATTCCCTGTGGGACTCTGAAGCATCCTTATGCACCCCAGGAGAGACCTAAACTCATCCCTGAGCTCTTCTGGAGCCACCCAATGCTGTCAAATTCATCACTTTCATCCCCGTGTCCGGGCTGGGCTGTTCCCACGCTCCTGCTCACAGCGACGGCGCTCGAGCTGCATTTGCAATTTTATAGGTTTTTTTTTTGGGGGGGGGTGGGGGGGTGGGGGGGGTAATTTTCTTTCCCAGTTAACCCCGTTGGGGCTACAGGAGCACCTGGGCAAGCCCTGCACTGACTTCACACCCAGCGGCTTGGATAGTTTGGGACCTGCAAACAGGGGCGAGACTTGGAGGGACACGATGTTGTCCCTGTTCCTGTATAATTCCCACCTGTTCCTATGTAATTCCTACAGGTCCTACGGTGCTGAGCAGCACCATGGGGGACTGAAACAGTCCTGCAAGGGAGGAGGAAGGATCCCTTGAAGAAAAAAATGTCCTTTAGCCAGGTCAGCTCGTGCAGCTGAGACACACACAGCTAAAAATACCCCTTTGCTGGTCGAGATATGCTCCGGACCCCGAGGGTTACGGGGCAGACGCAGCCGGAGTCGCTGCACGGCAGGAAGATACGGGACAAGGCCTTCCCCTCCTGTGACACCCGCGATAAAGGGTAACGCTTCCCAGCCCGGGCTGTGCCACCGGGCATGCCGTCCGTCCTCCCACCCCTGCGCGCCTGTCATCACGTCCCGGATAATTCGGAGCACGGGGTAATCCCTGTGCCCCCACGCGTCCCTTTTGCTCATCCCCGAGGAGCGAGTGGCTCGCTATTAATAAATCCCTCTTGCTCTATTACCGCAAGGACGACACCACTCGATATTCATCCCCCATCCCGCTCGCCCGACTCCCCAAGGGATTTTTTTTTTATTTTTTTTTTTCCATTTTTTTTTTTCCCTCCCCGGG